GTACTGTGATGCATGCTCAAGAATTTACAAAAAAGCTAGCAAACCGCATCAGTGTCGTGCACCCGCATGCACACATTGCAGTGAACACACAATGTTAAAAGACAAGAACCCACAACAAAGTACATATTTTATGACTTTGAGACACAGTATCATGATGGAAAGCATGAGGCTAACTTTGTCTGTACTATTGACATGGAGGGACAGAAGTTTTGCTTTAATGGCAAAAATTGTGTAGCTGAGTTTGTTAAACACTTCAGAAGTCCGAAATACAGCTTCTACACATTTATTGCACACAACGCCTCAGGTTTTGACAACTACCTTGTGTTGGAGTACTTTGCACAGAGTCGTCTCATCCCTAAGCTGACGATGAGGTGCAGTAGGATTATCCTGATGTACGACGAGGCGTACAAACAGCGATGGCTTGATTCATTCAGCTTCCTGCCCATGAGACTGTCTAAGACACCAGCTGCCATGGGTTTTGCAGATCTCGAGAAAGGCTATTTCCCGCACAGGTTCAACACCAGGGAAAATGCGCACTATGTCGGACCGTACCCAGAGCCATCCTACTACGGCTACGACACCAAGACCAGTGAAGAGAAGGAGGTATTCATGCGGTGGTATAACACAGTTCGTGATGAGACTTTTGATTTTCAGAAAGAGATCAAGCGCTATTGTGTTAATGATGTGGAAGTCCTGCAGCGAGCCTGTACAATTTACCGCAAAACATTTCTGGGTTGTACACAGCTCGATCCCTACTCCTTCACCACTCTTGCGTCTAGCTGTATGGGTGTGTTCAAGACACTCTTCCTACCCAAAGACACTCTGGCACTCACGTATGAGGGAGCGTATGTAAGCCAGAACAAAACGTACTCTGCAGTCTCCATGCAGTGGTTGGGATACCTGGCACACACTGAAAACTTAGCAATCCAACACGCATGCAATCTGGGTGAGCACAAAGTAGGCAACTACTTTGTAAACGGGTATAATGCAGTCACCAAGACATGTTATGAATTTGCAGGTTGCTTTTTTCATGGTTGTGTCAAGTGTCATGACCAGTCAGACATCAAACCTGTATGCAAGGCCTCTTACGGCGAGCTGTATTGTTCATTTATGAACAAGGTGTCTGCTCTGGAGAATAGTTTTGGTCTGAGCGTTGTTGTGATGTGGGAGTGCGAATGGGCAGAGATGACCAAGACGGACCCAGCTGTCCAGGCATTTTTAGCCACGTACAAAGCTCCTGAACGTCTTGATCCACGACAGGCTATCTTCGGAGGACGCACCAATGCTATGAAGTTGTATCATGTGACAGAATCTGGTGAAATGATTCTGTATGTTGACTTCACAAGCTTGTATCCATTTGTGCAGTCCAGAAAACCGTATCCGATAGGTCACCCGCAGATTATCCAGAGAGATTTTGAATCCCTGGATAAGTATTTCGGGCTTGGAAAATGCACTGTGCTCCCACCCAGACGTCTTCTTCACCCAGTCCTCCCCTACAGGTGTCATAAAAAACTCATGTTCCCACTATGCCGCACTTGTGCCGAAGAGTTAAACCAGGCCGCTGAGTGCACACACTGTGATGGTGAGAGGCAACTTTCTGGTGTATGGGTCTCGTTGAAAAAGGGTACCAGGTGGTGGTTATTGACGAAGTGTGGCATTTCTCCGACAAGTCAGACACGTTGTTTCGAGAGTATGTCAAGACATTTCTGAAATGTAAGCAGGAGGCTTGGGGTTACTCCTCTCATGTCAAAACAGAGGGTGATCAGCAGAAATACGTCGATGACTACTTTGAAAAGGAGGGGATCAGGCTTGACCCGGACAAGATCAAGGTAAACAAAGCAGTTAGGAGCTGTAACAAACTTCTCCTCAACTCTTTGTGGGGCAGGTTCTGTATGCGTAATAACATGCCTTCATGCGAGCTGATCACTGATCCTGCTGGATTCACACAGCTCATGTTCATCGATCACTATGATGTGAGACAGTTCTGCTTCATCAGTGAGAAAGTGGCTATGGCCCAGTGGCGCCACGCTGATGCACGTGGATCTAGAATCAGGGATGTCAATGTCTTTGTCGGTGCCATGACAACAGCCTATGCCAGAATGATGCTGTATGATTTGTTAGACAAACTGCAGGAGTGGGTGCTGTACTATGACACAGACAGGGTTGTTTTTACAGCCAAAAGCGGGGTGTGGGTCCCACCTCTGGGGCCATATCTGGGCGACTTGACTGATGAGATCAATGCAGGGGAGGTGTGTGGTGCTGATGGTGAGGATTTCATCACTGAGTTTGTTTCAGGGGGTCCCAAATGTTATGCTTATCGGACGAAACATGGCAAAACACAGGTCAAGTGTAAGGGAGTCACACTGAATGCACAAAACAGGGGTGTTGTCACACACGAGTCATTATCGGGCCTCATTAAATCCTTTGTGTCCGATCGTGCATCGAACACCCACATAACCACCACGTCTGACACCATCACGAGAGATAAAAAGAGACTCTGTCTGAAAAATAAAACAGTCTGTAAAAAGGTTAGGGTGGTGTATGATAAGCGCAGGGTACTTCCTGATTACACCACACTTCCTTATGGCTATTAAACCCAAAACTGATTTTGACTGCCGCCTACAACATCCATTTAGTCTGGTGGTGAGTGGTCCATCAAATTGCGGCAAGACATTTTTTGTTAAAAAAATAATTCAGAACGTGTCAAAGGTCATATCCCCCGAAATATATAATATTGTATACATTTACTCATGTTGGCAGTCTTTGTATGATCAACTCCTACAAGTGCGAAATATCAAATTTGTGAACGGCCTACCCGAGTCTCTGTGCGATGATACTTTATTGCCACCAGAAAAAAAAAATTGCTGATTATTGATGATTTAATGAATAATGCCAGCAACAACATTGAGGTCCAAAACATATTCACCAAATATGTGCACCACAGGAATCTGAGTTGTACATATCTGGTTCAAAACTTATTCATCCAGGGGAAAGCCAGTCGTACAATTAGTTTAAATACTAATTATCTAGTTCTGTTTAAAAATCCCCGGGGATAAATATCAAATTACGCTGTTGGGGAGGCAAATGTTTCCTGGTGACACTAAATTTTTCTTGGAGGCTTTTAACGACGCCACCAGCCCCCCATTCGGCTACCTCCCCATTGATTATAAAGCAAAGACGCCAGACCGACTGTGCCTCAGAACCAATTTGCTCTCCGACCAACAGGTTGTATACCTCTCTAAAAAGCAGCGAGGGTGACCATGTCACCTCGCATGCGTAGAAACTGATCTCTTTTGGAGTTGTTGTACAAGTCCACACCAACACAGCGCCGGGTTATTGTGGCTAACGCAGGATCGGATTTTATTAATGCACTGTGTGAGATTGCCCTCAACGTACTTCGTGGTAACATACCCTTGAGTAAAAAACAATACAGCCATCTGAAAAAGAAAAGAAAAGCGATTAAACTCATTGCCCATAAAAAAGTTAAACTTTTGCGAAAAAAGAAGACCATCAACCAGAGATGGAGCGGATTTTTATTGCCGTTGTTGGGGGCTGCTATTCCCTTTATCACCAGTCTATTATCGGGAAAATAATAATAATAATATGGAGCATACACAGAAAATGTTTTTGGTACTGCAACATCAGCTGGAGTCACTGAAAAAACAAGATCAAAACGAGGGATCTATATGTCTTGCTGCTCTAAATGAACTGGACAGAGAAATGCTTGATCTGTTAAAACAGCCGGACATAATAGTTTATGAAAAGGCTAAAAAATATGCAGGCATCTTACAGAGATACCTATCCCTGGTTAGACAGGGTGAACACAAAAAAGCAGTTTTAACTTTGTCACTGCCCGACAATCAAGAGGTTGTTGAAAAATCGCAAGGCATTGATGATAATGGTGATAACACCCATGCCGTAAAGGACACTGTTGTTGACAACATCTTAAAACATTTACCCAAAAAGAGGGTGAATAAAGGACAACACATTTTGGAAACATTGTCACAGGCCAATGTAATATCGTGGACTGACCTGGGCGAGATTATTGTCAATAATCGAACAATAAGAGGATCACACCTGTTTGATTTGGTAAAAAATGTTACTGCGTCACAAAACACATTACACACCTCAAGACCAGTAGGGTGGGATATTTTTTTTAAAACCCTGGCTGATCTAAATGTTCTGTTATCTGCAATACCCAACACACAAGTCTGTAGTGCTATAGCAGATTATAAGAAGGGTATAGTGCATGCAGGGAAAAAAGAAAACTCTCTGACTCCGATGCACACAGCTCTCCTGTACCTAGATCTGCTGACACCTGGTTGCATTTTTGATTAATTTATTCTGTTTTGTAAAACTATGTTTTGCTTTTTTACTCTGAAACGTGTCTCAAGTCTCACATTGCCTGTTTTGATGAGAGAAACATTTCTCGAACACCCGCCGTCCGGCTCTAGGTTGAAGCAGAACAATGCGTATCCATGTCCAAAATCATGATGCGTCACAGCTAACGATCTGTCTTTTACGTGTCGACCAGTAGTTTGAATCAGCTGGTAATACTCTCTTGCGTATTGATCCCTATTAAACATGGGTTGAAACGGCCTTGCTGGAAAAGACTGCCCCTCAGCATGTAGACAAATGTATTCTGTATCGTAATGCTCAAAATTAAATGGATTCCTTACATAGCTTCCTGTATATGCTTCGTTATCGACAAAACCGATAATGACAAATTTCGGTATCTGCCCCAGAAACAGGTTTTCCTGGTTACATACTCTGGTTCCGGCGGGGATTGAAAATGTCTTGAGAGACACTCTATCAATTGCATATTTAGCATTTGCATGTTGTACCGCCCTGCTGTGCGCTAGCCTAACTGAAGGTGATACAACTACCTTCTTGACAAAGAGACTGGCCGAAACTATCTTGACCATGTATTGTTCAGCATCCGGTGTCATGAGGACAAATTCATCCTTTGCACATATGAATTTTAAAGAAATATCGATACTGTTGAGCATCAGCTTCTCTTGAAAAAACTAATCGGCATGTATCGGTGAAATTAATTCGACAATGCGTCCCATTCCTGTGTATCGTCCTCTCGCTGCAAGGCCTCTGTCATTCCCCAATATTGAAGAATTATTCATATCCCCTGTATCTTTGCTAAACAGTCCCGTGGCAAACTGTGTATCCAATGTGTCGCCTGAATAGTTGATTAAACATTCAATTATCCCTCGGTATGGATAGGTATTGGAGGATTGTGTTATTAGTCTGTCTCCCAGCATTATAGCCACTTGCGAGAAGAGTGTACATCCCGGATAATTTATAAAACCCACATCCACGCCGTTTGCCAGATTTGCTCCATCCGCTCTTGTGATTTTCACACGGGTGTACAGATAAGAGTCATTCAGATCAAGGTAGTCTTCACCACTTGCCGATATGTAGAATTCTATTGGGCCTGTGTCGGTAATTGCCGAAACTGGTGAAATTTCCACAAAAGTTGATTTTTCAATAGAGGTCTGGGTGTACGGTACGGTGAATAGATCCAGCTCTGTTTTCACACATTCATCCGACTGCTCATGTATTAGCGACATTGTTGTAGATTTTTTCTCAGCTTAGAATATGTCTCTCTGTCCGTCCCTCCTGCCCACACTTTGCTCTGCAGGCTTTGCTGGTTGCTTTCTTTTTTACTGTTTTTCCCTTTGTTTTCCGCCTTTTAATGTGTTCGACGGAATGCCCACTTCCGGAAGGAGGTCTTTTCGCGCTCTTCCGTGTGAACACCAACAATCTGTTTATGTCTTGTTTTTTAGACACCGTGTTTCTCGCTTTGTTGGACACAACATCACCCATAATATTCGTGGCAGCGGTTTTTAAATGTGGCATAGCCATGCAAAATCCTTTTTTAAACACCGGTACCGCCATTCTAAATAGATTACGAAATATGCCTCTGAGGCCTTGACCATATTGTGTACTCGATCCTATAAAACCGGGTAGCTCCCCGCCGGCCTGGTTCATATAATAAGTCACATATCTTGCATCATTGCTCGCGTATGGGGTGCGTAACATTTTCTGTTAAATTTTCTCCCGCAGCAGTCTAAAATGTAATTTTACTACTACTTTCCCGTAAGAAAATGGTATATATTTATTCTGGTTGTTTTTTAACGAAATCTCTATATCATCAATAGTTGACTTGGAGAGAGATGTGTAGTGTGGCTTGTCATAAGTCAGAGTGGGCATGCGACGTCCATCGTCGGACACATTTATACAGCTTAAAAGCGGTACATGACTATCACCCACTAGCTGGTAATCCACAATGTCACTATACACAAATATATTGTAGCTTCCACCATGAATGTCTGCAGGGTGAGGTGCTTGCATTTGTTTTCGCGTACCATAGATTTCAGACATTGAAAGCGGTTGCCCTGGGTTAAAGCCAAGTATTTCGGCTAGTCTGCCTTTAAATGTGAAAGTATTTCCCTCAGCACCCGTAAAATAAATTAAATTTGTAACATTGCTGTAATGCATGCTTATGTTAGCGCATGCTTGATGCTGTACACAGCGTGAATTGACTTTTTTAACTAATCTGGGTATCGAGTCATAAAAACCGGGTGACATGGAGATTGTCAAAGGCTGTTTTGTTTTATAATTTTGGACAATCACATCTGCATCTTTGATTTGGAAACTGTTCCAAACTCTGGGGTATTGGATCTCGATCAATCCCACCTCATAAGGCTCAGTCAGTATGATGGGTCTAGCTAACTTCGTCCTGTAGTTCCATATCTTGTTAGTGGGATATACATGAGCCGAGGCATTACTAGGCAGCGTCACAAAGAATCCCGTATTCTTCTTGTCCATTTTGTTCCGTCGCTATGCAGCACCAGCGTCTGATATGATGGTAAACAGAGATGACTCGCCCATTTATTGCACATCTTCTTCGTTAAGCCACGAGTTGAATTTGTCCGGCCACCCCAGCCATTTCCCTAACACAATTTTTTTCCGCCCCGCTGTTTTTCTAGCTACTATTTTTTCTATCTTAAATACTTTGTTGTCATCAATAATGACCATCTGTAACTCTGGTTCATAAAACCTACCTTACAACCTTGCCTCCACAATCCTTTAGTCTGTATACGGGAGGGTCCCTGGCTATGCGTTCAGTTATTGTAAAATATTCATCCGTGAAAGTCTGCTCATAGCCTTTTCTAAACATGCCACGGAGTTTGGATATTCTCACGTTGTCCCCTATATAGTATTTAAAGTGTACCATTTTTTGTGGTTTCCCCTTGTAGAGATTGCTGAAGACTGTTTTCTCATTGTCTTTATTAACGGCAGCAGGTGCCATTTTTATCGATCGTTGATAAGTTTTGTTGTACGCTTCAACAAGGTCCTGGACTATGTCGATATATCGCTGTGAGTTGATGGATGTCAAGTATCTCCACATACGCGTCTTGAAAGTTCTGTTAAAACGTTCAACTACGTTGGCCTTGGTCTCGTTTGATGTGGAAAAATGGATGATGTCATACTGATGCAGCAGAGTTTTAAAATGCTTGTTATAAAACTCGGTACCAGCATCCATTTGGACTTTTGTCGGAATGCGTCCGTCTCTTAGAATGTCTTTAAATGCACTTGCGACAACGGGTCCTGATTTGTTTCTTAGAAGCCTCACACAAGCATGTTTAGAGAATACATCGATACACATCAGCATAGTGCTGGGCGATATGTAAAAAAATGTATATCACGATATGGATCATTTTATATCACGATAACGATATATATCACGATATAGCTATGGTATGCTTTCAGTTCTATGAAAAATTTAAGTGTATACAGCTGCACTAGTACAGTACCAGTACAAGACCAGCACTTAAAACTAGCAAAATGAATAAATAAGTACGTGGCTGAAGTGTGTTCATGTCTGTGCTCACCCAAAGTTATGCAACACTCACAGAAAACAGCGATAGTGTGAGCCAAAGCACTCCATAATAACAATAATAATAATAATAATAATAATAATAATAATAATAATAATAATAATAATAAATTTAATTTGTAATGCGCTTTACATTTACAAAAAATCTCAAAGTGCTACAGTACACAGTAAAAAAAAGAGCAGCAACAATAAAAAAGCAATAGAATGACAGTCACAGATTGGCATAAAAAAATAATTAAAAAAAATAAAAAATATAGAGTTGCAATGTAAGAGGCAAGGTAGTAAAAGCATAAAGCATAGAGGAAAACTAACCAAAGGCTTTATGAAAAAGGTAGGTCTTTAGGGCTCTCCTGAAGAGGTTGTTCACACTGCTAGATGTTTCTCCTCCAAAGCTGCTCTCTGCCTCCATCATTGTTTACTTTACTCTTGCAGCACGTAGCAAGACCCGAGCATGAATCCGAGCGCTTTATTCGTCTATCTGGGGCAGACAGGTAAGGTGATTTGATTCGCCACGACTCCAGAAATGATTGAAAAACTACATAATGTCACAAAATTACGTTTCCTCGCTGCTGGCTTGAAGAGTACAAATGCGCAGCCGCGCTCCCAGCTGACAGGAAGTCAAACCACTGTTGTAGTTCTTTTGTGTTGCTAGCGCGGTCAAGAGTGTTGGCTCTCACTGAGAGATGACTACAAAAATGGACGCACCTGTTCATCTGGTTGTTAAACACGGCTGAAAATGATCATCTTTTAGTGTTGTTCCCCCTCCTGCCCACTCCCGTTGCTTTTTTTCCCGTCCCGTCCCAATCAAGGGATTAATTAAAAAATGACTCCCATCCCGTGGGATTCCCGCGGGAATCACGTGACCCACGGGAATTCCCGAAAAATGTCATCCTCTACAGGGAAGGTCCCGAAGCAGATGAAACAGGTGCCGGAGCGGCTGAAATAGGTCCCGGGTCCGATCAAAAGAGGTCCCGGAGCGCGCTCCGACTTGCTCCGGCACAAATTAAGCACTGCTTACAATGATCCCCTCACGTGTGTAACCCAGGTAACCCGCAACGGCGGGAGACGCTGGACACGAAGAGGGCACGAAAAGCGGCATCATGTCGCAAAATCGAAAGAGAAATACGAGCCTACATGTCAACGCATCCTTTTCTTTGTAAGAAAATATTGTTTTCTTTCCCGTTTGACACCAAATACACTTACTGAATGTGCAATTATTATTGTTGTTACTATGAATCATCTGATGGCACAAGCCCTATGGAAAAAATACAGCCTATCGCCCGAAACGATAAAAATAAAAATGGCACGATAGACATTTTCTATCATGCCCATGATATCTATCGTCCTATCGCCCAGCACTACATCAGCATGTACCAAACGTTTTCATTTTCTAATGAGAATTCACTCATATCAAGCAAATCAAGCTGAAACTGTTTGTCGATTCCGCTCACAAGAACCTTATTTCTTGCAAAATTTCTTGCAGCGGGTGCATGAAGAGTGTAAACATCCTGTCCTAGTAAAAACCTTTTGACCTTTTAATGGAGGTGTAACACCTGTTTGTTCCCCGACTGCTTTGCGCAGTTTATGCACGCTTGATAGACCTGCCGGATGGCCAGTATCATAATAAATTTTATGCAAGGTGTTTTCCATAGTCTGGCTGAGGCATAAATGAGTAGCCGTAATAGATCACAATGTCATTTATTTAGCTCCAAATAGCAGATCATGATAAACAAATCACTAACAAAATTAAAAGGGTACATTGGCACACGGTAACAACATCAATCATTTCAGTTTCTTTTCCAAAATTCACCAGACTGTCGGAGGATGACTACTTTTAAGTAACTATTGGCTGATGCTTCGTCATACATCTCGTTTATCTTATCTACAACATTATCGACTGTTTTCAACCTCGTCAACTTTGTTAAAAACTCCCTGCAGATACCTCCAGTCACACCACTGGATAAAGAAAGTTGTCTTAAAATGTGTCTCGTACTCCTGGTAAGAAACAGGGTAGGGGTGTAGTCTCCATTCTTCACAGCCTCTCACTGCAATCATCGGCTCACGATCCTCACAAACACTCAGAAAAATAAAATCTTCCGAAAGTTTGAGGAAACGGTCTGCCTCAATGCGATACATTTCAGGCCCTGTACCGCGGGTCCATTGCGATGTATAAATCAACTCAGGAAAACCAGGCTGGTCAAGGTCTCAACAGGCCACAGAATGAAACAGTTTCCAGTCTTTTACAGACAGACTTACGTCTAGCCCCTGCTCTTCGCTCTCGCACTTTACACACAGCGTGAAGCGACTATCGCAATATTTCAGCCAGTATACGTACCCATTGGCCCCTATGTATTCTATATTAAACGCGGACGGTGATCCTTTAGTTAAACCCCGAACCCTTTGCTTCTCATGGCAAGGTGTTGCAGTCAAGTCTGTTACGCATGCCGCATCAGGAGAGGACGTACCTTCACAGACGACGTTGCCCGCAAAAAATCCCATTTTGTCGATTTACTCCTGTCCTACAAACGCTCTGTGGAAAAAAAAAGAAATGAGGCGTGAAAAACAAGAGCACAGCAACTCACTTCTATTCACGCAGATTAACACACCCACAAAGGAGGAGTCACAGCAGGATCTGACGTCACTTCCCCCTCCCACCAGGATGTGGTGTCAGTGACTTTTTATTCATTTTCCCGGATGTGACGTCACCCCCTCACACCTCCACCCCAACCCCCGATTCCTTGTTGTTGCTTTATTTGGAAGGCCTGCTGCAGGATTTGACTTCAGCAGCCCCAAGTGATGAGATGGCCAAGATGCTGTGTGTGGCAGACATGTTACTGCGGGGTACCATTGCATAAGCCCGTACCCGTATTCAGTCAATGGCCTCCATGTTCCAGGCACGGCGCCAAGTCTGGCTGTCACAGTCTAATCTGTCCGACCAGGACTGCATTTCTGTGCTGGCAGCTCCAGTGGTGGAGCCCTCATGACAAAGGTTGCGGCCCTTCTAGAGAAAGGGTCAATAACACCCCTCCACAGGGGCGAGGTGCACAAAGGGTTTTATTCAACCTATTTTTTGGTTCCAAAGAAGGACAGAGGACTGCGTTCTATGTTGAATCTGAAGGAGTTCATTCGCTTCCTGAAACACCTGCCCTTCCATATGCCCCAGGAAAAGGGGCGGGGAGCCAGGGGTAGGAAGCCGGAGACCAGGGGAAGAGAGCCTGGAAGCCGGGGTTCGAGAGCCCTAAGCCAGGTGAAGAGAGCCACAAGGGCCGTGGGGAGAGATCTGCGGGCCGTGGAGAGATGGCTGGCACGGAAGAAAGCCCACAACCCTACCTGGAGAAGTAGGCTGTATTGGTGGAAAAAGTGCCTAGAAAGTGAATTTCGTTCCACTTTAGTGGGGCAACATAAACTGTGATTCATAAAGTTCCTCTATTGATAGTAAGTACTAAAAAAAAAATCTACTCATGCCATCCAGTCAATTTTCAGTAATCAGTGTTTCGGTGTCGAACTATTTCCTTTCTGTGGTGTAGTGATACTTGCACACGGGCAATCGAACATGCAAAGGTGTGTGATTTTTGTCACGTGGTCCAATAGGAGCCGAGTCTCGTTGCCATAGTATCAGAATTACACAAACATGGCGATGAGTGCATCTAGCAGCGAGACAAGCGAAGAGGAAGAAAAGAAAAGGAAAAAAAGAAAACAGTCTTCAAAAGTGCATAAAAAAGGAACGAAACAATGCTATTTGCATTTATCATCTGTCCAGAGTGAAGACGTTCTTGACTTTGCAAGGACACGTTGGGAAACTTACAGAACTAGTATTAGAAAGTGGCTTTCTCTACAGGGTGAGACAAAGGACCTTGCAGAAACGTATAAACATTGCGATGATATCAACTTTGACAATGTTCCTGATGACGCTGGGTTTCACATGACATGCTACCAGCGATTTATTTGCAAAAGGCGTTTGAGAAACAAGAACGTGATGCAGCCGCGGGTCAGTCAAACCCTTCAGCCAGCATCGCCGATGCATCCACGTCCGCGCCATCTGAAACTCTGCGAAAGAAACTTCGCTCGAGGTCATAGGCTGTATTGGGGCAAGGGAAAAAGTGCCCAGAAAGTGGATTTCATATAACTACGCTGGTGCTACTTGTTCAATGCATTTTTGCATAGACAATACCATTCTGGACTTTGGGTTAAAATATCTACTCAGACTATCTGTCCGACTTTTTTCACCAGCCAGAAATGTACATATATGTGAGTAACCAGTGTTGTTTTTGGCAGGCATTTTAGATTTAGTTTTAGTCTTAGTCATTTTGACGAAATGCTTCTTCGTTTTAGTCCCATTTTAGTCATTTCTATCCTTGATAGTTTTCGTCTAGTTTTAGTCCGACGAAAACTCAAAAGGTTTTAGTCTAATTTTAGTCGACGAAAAGGTGTCTTTTGAGGTTCGTGGCGTTCTTTCCCGACAGTTTGAAGCCGCAGCATGAGGAAGCTGTGGCTCCACAACTGTCGTCTCTCTCGTCTCCCCGTCCCCGTACAAGACATTGTGTTTTATTGTCACTTGGACTGTATCTGAAGTAGGACCATAAACCATCCCTCTTTTTTCGGCCACCGGGTACCGCTGCTGTGCCTGCCGCCACGGTGTGTGTGTGTGTGCGCGCCTCGTCCACCTGCCGCTCTGTGTATGTGTATGAGTGTGTGCGCGCAGCTATGCGCGAGCGAGGCTTTTGGTGCGTGTGTGATGGGGGCGTGACTGTTAGGACAAAAAAAAAGCATGTTTTGAAACTTTGTTCGTCCACCTAATAACAATTTAGTCTCGTCTCGTTCTCGTCTGACGAAAATGAATACAATTTTCGTCACATTTTAGTCTTTACAGAGCTTTGGTGACGTTCGTCTTAGTCTCATTTTCGTCAAGGAAAAAAGGGGTCTGACGTCGTCATTTAAGTTTTCGTCCTGCCTGACGAAAACAACACTGTGAGTAACCCAAAAAGCAATTATTTGGTGCTGCTGTTTTTGCTTGTAGAAACTGCTATGTTGATTCTGGCAAGACAAAATCTTTCTCAAATGTCATAAATACATCTACCTAACATCTGAAACAGTCATTGGTGCCTTACTATACACATAAGTGAATTCAGATTATGAAATGTAGCAAATTTCTTGAAGAAAACGTCTCAACTCAAGTGATTTGCACCCAGCACAATGAAATATATACAGTAAATTTAGCTAAAAGCTTATGTTTCATACATAAAAATTACACAACCTACTGTGTAATAAAAGCAATAAAATATAAACAGCACATCATGGTCATAAATGGCTGAAAGTCAATCAAATTGCTACCACGCCCCCCAAAATTGGAATAATGGAAAAAATGTAACAAGACAAAAATAAATGCACAAAAGGTCTGAATTAATTAAAAATATGGTATAAAACATTTATTCAAGTACCACAGTGTCAAAACATCGGACATTTATC